AAAAGTTTAACTTAATTCGATGATCAATAAATATAATTATATATACAGCCTTATCTTATACCTGTTGGTACAAATTTAGATATTAAGGTAGAATTTAGTTTTATTATATCATTAATTAATTATTAACTATTTAATATTTTTTAGGTTATTGTGTAAACTAGTAGCGATGCATCTATTAGCAATACAAATACTTTATCTATTCCTTATGCGCTATCAAAACTTTAGATTCTGATCTAAAATGGAGCTAATATGCTTGTTGATTATAAAAACAATCTTACTCTTATTGGGTTCGCACGAGATTACGAAATTCAAGATCCTAACTCTCCACAAGGAATACAACTAAGTTGGCAATGCAAATCGTTGTAAGCATAAAATGGGGATGACTAATGTTACACTTATAAAAAGATAGTTTATGTACCATAAAATACTTAGAATATTACAATCGATGGTGGTACTTTCAACCCTTATTAAACCCTCAGTTTCACTCTTTAAGGATCGAAAGGCTCTAGAAATACATAGTATAGCTCTTTACTTGTTTTCACCGAGATAGATCTTCCTCCTCTCTTAGTTACATTTAATGACCCAAAATAAATAGAACAAATTAACATAAACGAAGATATTTCTGCAACTCTTATATATGGCTCAAATGTACCTTCGGACATTCTCACTTATGCTGGAGCAGTTCTATACAATAACAATGTTGTAGGAGTAATTAAATTTGATTACTATAAAGTTAAATTTAGAATTTGGGATTACATTTCTGACATAAAACCAGATAATCTAATTGTTTAAGTCAGATTTACTGTATATAATCCTGCCAATATAATGCCAAGTTTAAGTGTTATAAACTTTAATATAAACTTGCCTCCTTAAAAATGCGTTCTTTCTGTTACTCCTTCAAGTGGCTAGGCTTTAACAACCTAATTCACTATTCAATTTGATGGTTGCACAGCCATTAATAATCCTTTAACTTACTAGTTCTTCTATTATAACCAGACCTCTGATTTAATATAAGAAATTTAAATCCCTTAAAAAATCCTAAGAAGATAATTAAAAGATCAGAATTTAGAATCCAAAATTATTACCAATCTCCCTTCTGGTAATATATTAATTATGGGTCAAGCTATGGATTCTTACTTAGCTGTCTTTAATACTACCATATAAGTGAACGTTTCTCCATTTTAGGAAAGTGAGTAGAAATTATTGAGTTTATTAGATTCAGCGCTTTAATAGAAAAGTACAAAAGTAAATTAAATAATTATCAATTTATGCGTTTTTGGTGAAGAAATAGCAAAGGACACTCCTCTTTTCAATCTAGACTCAGTTAACATAAAAAAATCGCTATTAGTTTAGGCAATTATAAACTAATCAAATATGCTTTCAAGTAATTCTTTTCTGTCTACTTACGCAAATAAAATTGTAGCAGCTCTTTCAGGGTCCATAACTACTTAGCATTAACATAAAGCTAGAGCGTCCTTAATAAATTAGCACAA